GTGTGTGCTGGCGATTTTGATTGCTGTTTTGCTTCGGGTGATCCAACCCTTTGCAGTACATTGGGATGAAGGAGAGAATCGAAGACCGCACGCGTCGGCGTCGAATCTGTTTCGAGGTCCTATCAATCATCCAGATAAGCGCTCGGCCGGGAGCAGGAAGGTTGGTAAATACCACAAATTTTGTTTTCTTGCATGGTCTCTCGCAGAACCTTACCTCTCCACTATACACAGAAAAAACCACAAAAGAAACCGACTCTTATCAGGAACCTGAATGCACGGGACATCGTCAAAGGTAAAGTATTCATCCCTTCCCCCGCTCGCGTTCTCCCTTTGCCCACATGAATCTGACCAATAATTTACCCCAATATCACAGTCGTAGGCTCAATGGTCTACAACCCCACCCTCCAAAAATGGGAAGGAAACGAAGAAGCCCTCCTGGACTTTGACCGCGCAACGCCTGCCCGCCCGGCGCTTATCACCAATAAAGGCGGGAGCAAGCTGCCACATACAGTCGGACAGATGGTGTTTGATCCCGTCAAGATGTGCTGGATTGGGAACGACGAAGACGTGGATGTATTTGCTGGGGTGTTGAGCGAGGAGGAGATGGAAAAGATGAGCGATTTGATTAGTGGTGAGTGCTTTTTTTCAGTCCAACAGAATAAATATCTCGGGATGTTGAGCAGTCTGGTTGGGGTCTAAAACTCATGCAAATGAACCTCGCTTTGATGAAACCCCAGACATAGGCCCACAATCAGACTTTGACCTCTCCAAAAGCGAGAAGGAAGCGATCTACATTTCGGAGTCGGCGCACAAGTTGTATATGGCGAAGTGGTATCCCAAGGCCGTGACGGATAGTCGGGCTGTGATGAGGGATACGTCTAAGGCGCATCTTTATGAGATTCGATCGGTATGTGGTTTGACCATGGAGTTCTTTTGGTTGTGCTGCGTTGTTTTTGGTGAGATTTGGCTCATGCCTTTTGTTTGCAGATGACTCAGAAGAGGAAACTTGGGTTGTGAATCTGGGGGCGATGGAATGGTAGCGATGAAGATAATGTATAAAGTATAATGTGAATGAAATACGTGCTTGCTGGCGAAAGGCTTCTCTTGCAATATGCAGGAATGTGCACGAGCTATTGCAAACTTAAGGGAAAAGTTGCACCTCGCACCAAATGCACAACCATGAACCCTTTGTTGGCATGGACACCACACGGATTAAGAACATTATGGATCTAGTTTCACACCAACAAAGCGACGGTAAACGATGCGCCCTTCCCAAGATGCATCAGTCAAAGAAGTGTGAAAAGCAGGTTTTGGAGAATTTGGGCGCATTGAGCTGGAAGGCAATCGCTGCATCCTAACCGTATCATACATGCTAGTATCAAAATTGTGGCATATTCTGGGATGGACATGCTTGTTTCTTTGCCAATGGATGGTGGTGTCGACCATATTTACCGCTGAAGTTGTATTGGTGAACACTAATGAAGGAAAATTAATGGTACTTGCTTGATGCTTGAGTGCAAGACCCCAAAAAATGATGCTTGGATAAGCTGCTTTTCTCCGTAACATTCCATCAACAAAGTCAACAATTCTATGTTCTGTCACCTCTTGGCATGGTCCGACCGATGAAGATATCTCATTGGGTAGAAAAAGAAAGGACATGATTGATTGGAAAAGTACTTTATTCGCATTATTTTGTCGACTCGTGAGAAAAAGAGCGTAGGATGATGCAACCTAAGTTACACTCCTACACCGCTCATCACGGTGCTCACGGTGGAAACGAAGGGAAGATGAGGTCACGTTCACACGCGCAGATTTGCGACGCGCCCGCTAAGCCACCGTCCGCAAATTGGCCCGGCTCACTCGGCTTGGGCGAACCTAGAACCTTAGTAACACAACTCAAGTTGCACAAAGTGCTCACAACCAGCGCCCATGTGGACAGAGAAGGAAGGTGAAGATGGAAGCCACTCTAAGCTGCCGCACATGCGCACATTTCCAACCACGAAAACGAAATCTGCTGAACGGAGGCGTTGGAGGGCGAGGGTTCCGGCGGAGGGTCAGCTCCCCCATGAAGGATGGAGGAAAGAAGGGAAGAAAGTTCTGACAGCAAAGCAGGCGAGCCTTCTTGATCTGAGCCCATTACCATTTCCCTCATATTTGCTTTACATATAGTGAACCAGGTATCCACCGTCAAACCGGTTGCCGTGCGTGCGCCGGGCTCTTTATAGACATCATAGACATCATAGACTTCTCCCAACGGAGAAACCCCACTCACAAAACAAACACTCAAAAATGGTTTCCCTCACCCCCCTCATCTTGGCGGTCTTCGCCATCCTCTCCGTCATCAGCACTGTCTCGGCCGGCTACACCTCGACGTCCTGGCAATCTCGCATCGTCAGCGCACATAACGCCGCTCGCTCTTTGAAGAAGTTGCCAGCGTTGAAATGGAGCACCAACCTTGAGAGACTTGCGTGCAAGTGTGCTTCCTCCAACGCTGCTAAGGGCTCGATGAACCACTGTCGTGTTGGAGAGAACATGTACTCCTGCAGCAAAAGTGCTTCGCCCCTTACCGCTGGAGCCGGTGCTCTTAGCTCCTGGGTCGCCGAGAAGTCGAGTGAGTTTTTTTGGAATCATGGAATCATTGACGTCTACTGAGCTCGATACTTACTACTGCGCCTGTCGTCATTCCATCATTTTAGAGTACAGCGGTCAATCCATCTCCTCCTCCCTATCAGCACTTTCTAAATTCGGACACTACACTCAGGTGAGGCCTCCCATCATAAATCAGACTCCGAACCTAAACAAAGTTTAACGATCATCTGACCAAAACCATGACATCTATAAAAAAAGGTGATGTGGAAGAACACCAAGAGCGTTGGTTGCTGCATGAAGACGGGGAAGACTACCGTTGTCGTTTGCAACTACGAGTAAGTGTTTTCTCACACGTCTTTGCGAAGCCGCAAGTGGATATCAACTAACAGTCCTGTGCTCTATAGCCCCCCCGGAAACTACATCGGCCAAAAGCCGTACTAGATTCCCCACATCATCATCAAAATCAGTAGCTTCGATTCGTATACTCTGTGAGCTGTATTAATCCGAGGAATCAAGTTTGTTTTGTTCTACTCTGAAGAAATTGATATTATTAATGGTTTTTGTTGGCTCGGTTCTCTTCTTTTTATTTGAGGAAGTTCGTAGAGTTTCTCTCGATGAACTATGTTCAGTACAAGGGCGGCCAATTGATATTTTTTAATCGATGTGTTGGTTTTGGGCGCGGGTTGGATGGGGTGGTGGTGTCGTCGGTTGAAGTTGAGTTTGACGGCGACATATGGGGTTGTGTGGAAGCCGATATTTGAATCAGTGTGGGAAATTGAAATTTGGAGACAAGTTGGACTTGGACATGAAGGTTTTGACAGCTGCTACGCGACCCTTCAATGTTGTCACAACACCGACTTGGCCTTCACGCTGCGACCTTTCAAGCAGAGTGGAGGACCGATGATGTTTTAGAGTGGGTGGTGGCGGCCAAGAAGGGTCATCCGATGACTATGCATCCCCAATGTTCACTGATGCACCGGATGTAGCAATGGTCGTCTTTATATTCAATGCTTTCAGCAGCGAAGGATGAGTTTGTACTAATCAGCATATGTATTTGTATGTCGTTTGCAGCATCCACAGCTTCGACTGTGTATGCAATTGCCGCAGCATCTGAATGTTGTCACATGGGTTACATACGCAAGTGCTTACAGTTTCACATGTGAAGAGATAGTACCTCGCACCCCATGAAGCGCCACTACTTCATTCAGCGTTTGTACTTAACAGAAGGAGTCTGAAGTGATCTAGATTTTGACACCACTCGCCCAGTCGGCAAGTGGGGTGAAGGAAAGTATCAATAGAGAAGACTCGACCTCAAATCCGTTTTTTTGAGCCGTGACCGCTGCTGGAGTTCCTGATCATTCCCTTTTGATTGATGATTGATGGAGCACGCACGCATGCCCAATTAAACTCACGCTAATATAACATTACATTTCAGTGACTCATGGCAGTCTTGCTGATCACATTGAACCCACGTAAAATATCCATTGATGTAAGCTCATTACATTGTGCGGCCCACAAAGTTGAACAATTCAATACCTCACATTCAAAGTACCAAATCAGATCATATGGTGATCAAAGAGCGCACGACATTTGAGCGCTGCATGATTTTACCACGTTGTAAGTACCCATTAGTATATGATCGCTATGATTGCCAGCTGCCATTGTCAACGAATTTGGTTCACGCACCTGATTGGCGTGGACCGGAAACAGGGCACTTGATCATAGTGTCGTTACCTCGGGCATCTACATGGAATTGCGAATAATGCAAGCTGAGCAAAGTGCCAATGGATGATTTGCATATGTTGAACAAAGTGCAATCGAGGTCCTTTGGTTGCATCATGGCAAGCGTTCACGGGTTCGTCAAGCATCAAGGGGGCTTTGCAGTATGTCGTCCATGATCTTACATTACCTCCTCAGAGGCTTCCGTTTTTGCGAAGAAATAGGAAAACGTTGAAAATCAGTAGGATCAAGGCGAGGACGGTAAAACTTCGCCACATTGAACATACATGCGCAATCATGCGCACTGTCTGCATGACAGACAGTCAACCGATGCGTGACAGACAGTCAACCTAAGGAGCTGATGGCTTGGAAAGACTGTGCAGTTCGTGAGTGTATCAATGCAACCTTCAAAGGCAAAGGACACTTTCAAGTTAGTCAGAGAAGCAACCGATCCCGGATTTAAGTCTTGCGCGTGGGAGTCTCGCGTAACTCCTGGTGCCAGCAGGTTTACGACATCTCCGATGTACTCGTGAAAGCTCAATCACCGTGGTGCTGGCGCCGAAAAGGCTGTTCATGTCGCCCACGGTTTTATACACATACTGTTTGGTCAAATAAAGTCTTCTTGTGCAGCAGAAGATGTTGAAGTAAGATTATACTAGGCACATAAGGGGAACAGCAAAAAAAACCAAGAATGGCCTGGCCCGGATTCGAACCGGGGAATGCGAGACACCTTCCGATAGATGTACAAGTACATTTACGAATGTGATAGGCATTTACCAAGTATACTACCAGGCCGAGTTGCGTGATTGTCGAAATCCTGGATGGTGTGGCTGGTGTGCAGCAGATAGGACCCGTGGCGTCAACGCGTTTGGAAGCCACCCCTCGCCCACTCCTTCCCGATCCCACCTCAAGTCCTTCCTGGCTCCTTCCCAGCTCACTCAGCTCCTTAAGCGTGCAAGTCAACACTTAGCAAGTTCAATAAATCTTTCCCTTCACACAATAAACTCTTTTCTTCAAAATACGGGATGACGGAACCAACAGGTGTAAAGCTCGAGCAGTTTCCTGATATCGGTCGGGCACTAGTGGCCACAAAGGACTTCGAGATCGGCGACCTGATCTTCGCCGAAACACCTGCCCTGCAAGTCCCAACAGCCCTGCAAAACTCTGCAATATATAAGAAATTGTTGAAGGCCATAACAGAGATTGCGAAAGAGTTTCCTGGCGCTGGTGTGTCAGCTTCGATCCAAGCCACCTTGCTACTCACTTACAAGAAGCTTTCTGCGGAGGAGCGACGCGAGATCACGGTTTGTTGACGCGCCTGCTTGAGCGGGGAGGCAGCGGTTGGACGAACTTGCTCATTACCCGTGTCATCAAAGGAAGAATATGCCAGCGATACAACTGAAGACCATGTGCTGGCTCGCTTCACCCGAAAGGTTGCGGAGACCGTTCATGACTCAATATCCGAGTTCCAAGCCTTCACCAGTGACGAGTTGCAGAAGCTTTTGCTGGTCATGATCATCAATGCGATCGAGGTATCGGAAGGAAAGGGTTCTTTTGTGACCCTATGCCGATGGCAGTCCAAATTCGCACACTCTTGTTCACCAAAGGTAATGTCAATGGGGGAAATTTATCAAAGTGGTGATGGTTTTGAATGTCATTTGTAATCGGCAGTCACATACCATTTTGGTGGGCAAAGAAATGAAGCACTATGCTCTTCAACCTATCAAGACAGGCGAGATTGTCACGACCAACTACATCATACAAGATGACATTCGGTACAGTGAATTTTCAGTGCCAGCGTACCTCTTCCGCTCACTCATTGGATGATCTTCTCCATAGGGTATGCTGGACAACCCCCATGCGCCGTCAGAAACTCCTCAGCACCAAATCCTTCCTCTGCAAATGCACACGGTGCTCTGCCCCAGACACAAACCGCACGGCAAAATGCCCAAAATGCCAACAACCCGCCGCCACACCCATAGATCTAAACTTCGACGAAGTATATCAATGGACATGCTCATCCTGCAACGCCTCCCTCTCCGATACCGAAATGCCAATCCGCATGGAACAGCAACTCCAAACCTCCCTCCTAGAAGCCACCGCGGTCTTCGACGACGCTGCCCTGCCAAGCATAGAAGCATTTCAAAAAGCCATGGGCAAGATGGACATCGTGCATAAAATGGGCACAACAGTACTCGGCAGCGAACACTGGATTACAAACTGGCCGAAACCGTTTCTGGCTAACAAGCTGATTGTGTCGGATATCAAGGCATGCAGTGAGCGGGCCATAGAGTGGATCGAGTGGTGTGGAAATCATATTCTACCTTACTTCCCCCATATTCATGTGAGGCATGTGTTGAGTCATCAAAAGTATTGTGAGAAGGGGCCAGTGCAGGAGAGATATTATCGAGCATTAGCTAGATGTAAACCATGGATCAATGAAATCTTTCTTGGGGATCCTAGACTAGTGCAGCTTGGCACAACGGCATTGAAAGAAGCGGGGAGAAGGGGTTACCTGTAAATAGTTATGCGTGTACATAGGCAATGTATACATAAATCTATTGGCAAGCGTGGACGTTAGCTCTTCTTGATAAAGGGTCTCTTCGATGAACCCTTCCTGCACAACAAAACTCAACCACACCCTTTAAATCATTCAAGAAAGAGGTTTACCAGCCCGAAAAATGGTATATATATATAATACAAGTTACAACAAAAGAGGCATAGAAGACAAGTGAAACTTTCACCAAGCACACCCATCTTCTTCTATTATCATCCAACGTCTTATCTACAAAGCCGCCACCCCACCAGCAATCAACATCAACCCTCCCATCATCCACCCCTTGTTCCGTACAATATCCCCACTTGACGCTGGTGAAGTGGCCTGAGCGGTTGCAGTGGCTTGGTTGGTGGCGAAAGTTGGGATGACTCCTCCGTTGAGTTGAGTGGTGGTGGTTGTGAAAAGAGTGGGAGAGGGTCCGGTGATGAGAGGGAGGGTGGACGTAGCGTTTGTGAGGGTAGTTGTAGGGATAAGGGCCGTATCTGTTCCGTTGAGGGGCGCGGTAGCGATGGAGGTAGTGGTAGAACCGGCTGCTGCCGTGTCGGTGGTTGTTGTTAGTGTGGTGGTAGGGGTATCGGCAATTACCGACGGCGTAGCAGACGACGAGGTTTGTGCCGCTGGTACGACGCCGGTAAGGCTTTCGGTTGTGGTGGTGGCCGGTGGGACCGTGGAAGATGAAGTGGTGGTATCTGTTGTACCAATGGACGTACCTGCAGTATCGGTGGTGGTGGTTGAAGATCCGGAGGACGCGGTTGTGGAGGAGGAGGAAGCTGAGGAAGAGCTGCTGCTGGCGGCGCCAAAGGGGTTGTCGGTCCAGCCTGAGGGCGGGTTGCTCTGGACGTTGCCTTGTTGGACAGTGACGGGGTTGTTGGTCCGTTCGGTTGTAACAAGGCAGATTGCACTAATGGAACAAACACAGCAAACACGATGTGAGTAAACAACATATAGCAATTGTAAACAAAGACAGTATTTACCTCGGATCGCCAGCATTCCTGCACTCATTTCTACTCCCCTGACATCCACTCCCGCTCGAAGCAGCCGACACGCTTCCCTGACAGATACAGTCCAATCCCCTCGTCCCACCACCCTGAGGAACATTCCAATCATCCTTGACCAATCCAGCAGAACTGTCTTGCGTCCCGGACATCACGTTGATGTAAACATTGGTCATGTACTGATCGCGAGTCCCGGTGAAGCTGGATGGCGGTGCGGCGGGTTGCTTGCCGGATTTCACGCATACTGAACAAGTGGTAGGGAAGTATCCTTCAGATGGACACTGAGCAGCGGCGAGCTGGATGGATCCTGCCACAGAAAGAAGGAGGAGAGATCTTGTCGAGACGTGCATCTTGCGTTCCGGTTGCTAGAGTGGGTATAATCCGTTCTGATAAGTCGCACGTTCACAATTTCCCGTTTACAACAAAGTTGCTACGTTCTAAACTTCTCTTGGATTTGAGGTTTCTGAGTTCTCGCGAATTTCGTCCGGTATCCTCGCTTCGTTTTATGAAAATCGAAAAAACACAACAACACGGAGAGAGTGAGAGAGATGAGAGCTTCCAGATCGTTGGACTGCTGGGTGGATTGGGAATTTGGGCCCTTTCCCACAGCCTGGAGTCGATGACGCAGGAATGGCTTTCACAAGAACGAGGACCCAGTCGGATCGATGGGTTCTATGGAACAACATCCTTCATCCACAACCCGTTTGGCTTGCTACGGTGGCCCTGGAAGCTGTCCGACAAAACGGGCGCGGTGGAGGTGGCGACGTGGGCCAGGAGAACCGCACAAGCCACTCGTAAACAAACAAGGAACGCGTCTGGCGTGTTTTGCAAGGGTCCACCATCAAAAAGAAACACAAAGGGGTTGATGATGAATAATTATCAAAGTACAAGGTGTAAACTTATATACAACAAGCATGGTCTAGACTGAACAACGCGGGTATTTACTGCAAACTAGTCGCAAGCTGCATCTGAAGCTCCATATTTCGCTGTAACAAAGCCTCATACTGCTCTGTAACGGCTCTAATCTCCCCCTCCTTCCTCAGCACCTCCTCCGTCAAGTTTTCAATCTCCCCTTGTTTGCCCGTCAGTGCGGCACGTAACTGAATAAAAGCAAAAGGTCAGAGATCTTGCATGTTGACAACGGAGGAAAGGGGCATGCAGGGCGGCCCACAATGCAAACAACAACCCACCTGCAACTCCACCTGAGCTGCCTCCCTCAGTCGTCCCTTCTTATCCCCCTTCCCCATCCCATCAGACCGACAAAGATCCTCAATTCTTTCCTTCAATGATTGCTCCGCCATTTGGCTATCCCTCAATTGTTGAACAAGAGCCAGATTGGTTGTCCGTAATGATTCCAACTCCGATGTAATTGCTTTAACATCGTCCGCCGAGATTCTCTCCGCTGACTTGACTTTCAATGCTTCGAGCTGGAGTCGTAGCGTTTTAACCTCCTGACGGGCGCCTTCGAATGCTTCGGATCGTTCATTCAGTTGGGTGGTGATGGCGGCAAGGCGCTTGCGGTCGAGTTCGGCGATGTCGCGTAGCTCGTTGTACACTTTTTCTGCTTCGGCGCTGTGGGCTTCGTACTTTGCCTGAACCAAGCTTTAGTTTGACCACCCATTTGATAAGATGTCAGAGGCTATTTTACCTTCATTCTCAGCAACTTTGCGTTTTCTGCTTGTGCCGCATCCAAATCAGCGTTCATCCGTCGATATCTTTCTTCCATTTCAGCTGTCAATGCTACTGAGGAAACTAGGGTATTCTCCTGATCCTCTCTCTTGGCCTTTAGCACCTCCAACTCCTCCCTTAGATCAACATTCTCCGCAGTCAGTTCCGCAAGTCTCGTATCTAGTGACTCTATCCGTGATGCCTGTTCCTTAGACTCTGCAGCTTGACGTGATAGTGCGTCTTTACTGCGCTGCAACTCCGCCTTCAGAGCCTCAAGATCCCCGTCCTTTTTGCGTAACCGCGTAATCTCCTTCTCCCACTCCGCTACCGTCCTGTCTATTTCCTTATTTTTGTTTCGTAGACCTTCCACCTCTTCTTTCGCTTGTTTCCCCTTCTCCGCCTCCAACTTCCAATGATCCAAATCCACCACTAACTCCTCAATTTGCTTCTCCAACTGTTCCTTCCCTTTGCTTAATCTGTAAAGATCCTTCCCCATTGCATCGATCCTCCGTTTTTGCTCCTGTTCCGTTTCCGTCCGTGCGTCCCGCTGTTGCATGGTATCGTTCAAAACCCTC